TTCTTAAACAGCAACATTAAGGTCAGTATGAACATGGTGGGGCAGTTTACGCGTTATAAATTTTGAAGCGTTAATGGTGAATGAATTTAAGAGAAATTTTAGTTTGGCTATTGATATCCCAACGATATTTTAAAGAACAAATTTAAACTCTCTCTTATTTTGCCAATCATTGAATGAATCCATAAACGGGATATTATATTTTAGAGTATTAGTATCCTTCAACTAATTCTGAATTACAAACTTACAGTCTCTTTAATTTAGTCAAACCGTTGAATGCGTTGTCTTCGACTGTGGTAATTCTGTTGTTTTCTAGCTTCCTGAAAGATATTGTAAAGAGTGAATGTCAAGTCTAAGTATTTGATAATAACTCTAACCAGTCTCACGATTCAGGTATATCAAATATTAACAGGTATAGCCTCAATTTCTTTATTCGGACATCTAAACTACGTATCATACAATAAACCAATTCTTCCTTTTGATCCTTAGATTGTTCTATGTATATACTCTTCACATTTTTCAAATGAATCAAGTAAGTTACATGTATTATACTGTTCCTTTTTCAGGTTCGGGGAAATATTAATGAAAAAAAATCTGGAAATGCTGTTATCGTTCTTGTCATTTTTGAATCAAACATAGGATATTATACTATGATGGATAGTTACTGAAAAAAAACATTGATTAAAAACACTAAGAAAATCCTTACAAATTCATCAGGTTGCAAAAAATACGAATAATCACATCAAAAATTTTATTACCCTCACAATGCAAATATATTAAATTAACGCGGTATAAACGGGTTTGGGATAATCAACGCTTTATAAACTGTAAACAATAAAGAGTGAGTTCGCCGAATATTATAGTTTGAAGAATAGACATTCCATAAATATTTTGAATTACGAACCTACAGCAGTCTCTTTTATCTGCGTCAATCAAAGAATGAATCCAAATATAGTATATTACAGTTAAAAGGATATTTAAATGAAAGATTGCCGCTGAACATTTTTAATGTTAACAAAGAATTAAAAAAAAATTAAACGGTAAGTCCCAGAGATATTGAACCAACCACCAATGATTTTTTTGTCAAGATCACAAATCAAGATTATATAAAATATAAGATATAATTGGAATAGAACAAATGCCCGGGTCAGAGACTATGCTGAGCATGTTCCCATGCACGTGATGAATGTCGAGAAAAACATTTCGAACACTGTAATCTTATCCATACCTGGTAATATATTCACTGCACCAATTTGAATATGTGCATATGCCAAGAAATTTACAACCTAAAATATTTTTATTGAAATATGTATCACGAAAAGTAAATAATAAACTATTAACTTATGCTTAGTTCGTGATGATTAAAAGTTTGGACATACTCTCTGTCTGTCTGTCTGTCTCTCTTTCTTTCTCTCTCTCTCTCTCTCTCTCTCTCTGCGTAGAAATTATTTAACAATGATAGAGATTCTAATAACGATGTGATAGATAAATGTGAAAAGTAAAGAAAAGCAATGGAAATCTACAAGTCAAGGTTTCATTTACATAATATTTGCATTCTTTTACATAAACGAAATGATTCAAGTTCGTGGATTTTCTCTGTTTTCTTACACTATGAACCTTTAAGGAAAATATTGGCTTGTGAGGATTTGATTTCGTGGTTAGAAAATATTTTGAAGTAATGCATATAAAAATTTACATTCAGCGCTGGTCATGAACTTGTGGGTCTACCCATGCCTCGAAAACCACGAAAATTAATGTGATTTCTCAGTCGGCATTCCGCTGTGTCACTCAATTTAAAGAAGAAGGTATGGTTTTAGCGTTATTGTGCCCTAAAAATGGAATGACTTCAAAAAGTTTTGAAACTGGCTTGAATATTAGTTAAATAAATGACTCTGATAAATCATGAAAGAATATGGCATGAAGGTTTACCATTCTGCAAATATGATGTCATTAATGTGAGGCATTTCTCTATTTTCAACAGAAGAAAGCCTCAAAATGGCACATTTCAAGGGTGATTTTCCTTTAGAAAACAGTGTCCACAGCCGTCGCCCACGTTAATTTTTTGATATTTTGTGCAAAATTGAATAATAAATCACATATCTCAAGATCTTTGTGGGCGATGCCTGTGGACAATGTTATCTAAAAGAAAATTCCATTGAAGATTGGTGTCTTCTGCAACTTTTTAAGAAAATACGGGAAAATGCACATGTTTATGACGTCATAATTAGCATTTAAAAACACATGTGAGAAAAATGACTTGTATGATTTTTCTGCATTGAATTTCAATTATTTAAAAAGCATAAGTTTTGAACTTTTACACCAGTTTCATTTTTTAGAAAATCAATTTGTATGGAAACCATACCTTCTTCTTTGATAACCATGTTATCGGAGAGGAAACAACACTTGTAAGTAAATAAATGCACTTCATAACTTTGTTGCACCACATTACATCTTAGAAAAAATATTTTAAAACGGCATTTTATAATTTTTTCACAATGTTTTTAGGACTTTGAAATGAAACAATAAAATAAGAAGAACAGATTAAATAAAACTTTTGTCTAAATATTTAATTCCTCTATATGCTTAGGACATATAAGTAATTTATAACAAACAAACAAACAAAAAGTAAATGATAAATGTTTTTTTTAAGATTTGAATCATAGATATTTGTTGTTTATATAAAGTTTAAACAATGTTTTCCAAACATTTGAAAACAAGGTTATATCCATGTTTTCTGTTAACATCTGTAACCAGAATTTATAATAATTTTCATTCAATCTAAAAATAAATATTTTAAAAAATTTGAGCCAACGTAACATAATTCATACACTACACAGTGTGTGCATTCTTAATAAAATATTGTGATTTTTTAAAATAGTTTTTTTCCCAAACAATGGAATGTGAAAACATTTTTTTAACCATGCTTTTTAAATAATAAAAATAATAAATATATAAATAATGAAAAGGATTCTTCATATCATAAAAATGTTATGCAAAAATGTTTCTAAAAAACTTCCTACCAGAATTAAAAGTTATGAAAAATATCTTTTAAATGTTTTTGAGAAACATTTTCTAAAAACGTCCTTATAACCTACATGTAGCTTAAACGTTATTAAAACATTTTACAAACGTTAGGTCAAAAACGTTTTGGAATAACATCCTTACAACCGGAATAAAATGTTATAAAAACGTTTTGTGCTACTTTGGTAGATATAAAACTTACAGTAACTCTAAGTTCGTCAAACCAGTAAGTGTGCGGTTGCTTATTGATGTTATTTCGTTATCGAACAGATATCTGAAAAAAAAAGAAAATGTCAAGAGCAATTTTATTTTTTCAAGAAAATCATTATATAAAATTTCCTTGAAAGTTTATTTTAGTAAGAAAGAAAATACAGATAAGTTTGAACTATTTCAGGTATATTTTCGTCTAGATTCGCAATGCGAACATGGAATTTAATCGGTACATGTAAAACACGATGGGACAGTCTACGCTTTATTAAATGCGAAGAGTTTATGATGAATGAATTAATGAATAATGGACGTGAAACACACCCCTTTTAAGTTAAATAAATGAGAAAGTTTGCTCTTTAAACACAAAAAAAAAAAAAAAAAAAAAACATCAATATAGAACGAAAACAAGGACTATAGTATGGAAGACTGACATGATAGAAAAATATTTAAATCAACAAGCTTAATTTCTCTCTAATCTTGTTATATCATTGAATAAATGAATGTTTGAGATGTAAAGGGTTGGGGAATTGATAATGACCAACTTACATGTATTTTAATTTTGTCAAACCGCTGAATGCATTGTCCTCTATTGTGGATATTCTGTTTCCGTATAGTGCCCTGAAAGATATTGTGAAGAGTGAATGTCAAGTACAGGTATTTGATATTATATCTTGTTCCTTACGGAAATTATAACGATGAATAATTACTGATTACATTAAAAATTCTTACTAGCCTCACAATGCAATCACAGATACATTTTTACTATGTACATAGTCGTCAATCTGATTTGCGCATCCCACATTTTCTTTTGAATTTGTAGGTTGTTCATTGTATATTTTTTTTCTGTATATTTTATTTTCTCTATCCATGAGTCTACTTTTCCATGTTTATTTGTTTGTTTTTGTTGTTTTGTTTTTTGCAAATATAACCACAAACTGTTTATCCTTTATAGAGATTTATTAGAATGCCAAACAAATTAATGAAATATATTAAAAAATTAGAGATACCCATGTTTTAATGTATCCACTATAAGGATATAAATATATACTAGAGCAAAGCTCGTTGCAAAGCAACGAGTAGGTCTTCCGTCCGGTTTTGACCGGAAGTGCCGGAAGTGACGGAACAAAAGAAAGCATTGAGCTAAGTAGTCTCCAGTGACTTTATAATTTCAATTTTGCATCAAAACCTTCAAAATAAGCCATTTTTTGCTACTTCCGGTTTGACTGGAAGTGACGACGACGGACGGAAAAACTATTTTTTATGCTCCCAGAGACATATGTCACCCAAAAAATTGTCAAGAACGGCAGAAAAACATGTTTTTCTATCATTTCCGATTTTGCCGGAAGTGACGACGCCGGACGTATTTTGTCGACTCTAATAGATTAAGCTTGACATTTTGAACAACTTTGCTACTTTGACGAATTACAAATTCTAAATACTTTTTGAGATATATAGGAAAAACACTTGGCCCCTCTCGGCCCCTAATTTTAAGGGCCAGCCCTTTTTTCGAGGTCTCATTTGAAAGATCTTGAATTTCTATACTTTTTTTGTTCTACATGTTTTAACAAAATATTTCTAGGTAAAAAGTTATCGTAGAAAAGGTGTTAAAAATTTTGAAATTCTTGATAGGACTATTTTCGGGCCATAGCGAGCGTCGGCACTTCGTTCTTCCGGTGGTTGTGATATACAAAATTCACTTCTCCAAAGGTTGCTCTAGCATCACTGAAAATGTCATGCTTCTGTGTTGAGTGGTTTTTCAGAAAATTGCCGGACAAAGTGACCCTCTGAAAATCACTAAAACGCGAAAATCTCAAAACCGGAAGTGACGTCATCAAAACAAAAAAATGTATATCTAGATTTTTTCATGCTCTATGAGTCCTGAAAGTTTCATGGAAATCGAGCGAGCCGTTTTCGAGAACTCGCGTGCCTTCCGGTTTGGCCGGAAGTGACGACGCCGCACATATTTTGACGACTCCAATAGATTCAGCTTGACATTTTGAACAACTTTGCTTCTTTTACGTATTGCAAATTCTCAATACTTTTTGAGATATAAAGAAAAAACTTTCGGCACCTTTAGGCCCCTGATTTTTGGGGCCAGCCCCTTTTGCAAGATATCATTTGAAAGATCTTGGAATTCTACACTTCTTTTGTTCTATATGTTTTAACAAAATGTTTCCAGGTAAAAAGATATCGTAGAAAAGGTGTTAAAAATTTTGAAATTCGCGATACGTCTATTTTTGGGCCATAGCGAGCGCCGACGTGCGGCACTTCCGATAAAAATGAAACACGTTATACATATCTATAGACTTTGGTCTATCATACCTGAAAGTTTCATGTTTCTATCTTAAGCCATTATTGAGAAAGTCTGGAGACAACATGACCCTTCAAAAATCATAAAATCGACAATATCTCCAAACCGGAAGTGACGTCATCAAATCGGAAAAAAATGCATGAGGTTCAAGTTATGTTATATAAGTCCTGAAAGTTTCATGGAAATCCATCAGGCCGTTTTCGAGAAATCGCGTGCACAAAATCGGTAAGAAAAAAAAGAATAATAATAATAAAAGTGAAAAAGAAACCTAAGAATAACAAGAAGGTCTTCCGCTGAAGACGGAAGACCTTAATTATGAAAAAATACAAGTACGACTATATAGGAATTGGGAAGAATAATGGGAGACACACTAGCCACAAACGTGTCGATAACTTACACAAGTTATTGACAACTGCCTCTTTCAGTGGAGTCTGATGGGATTTATCAACACCTCCAATGTAGCGACTAAAAGAGACATAATTCAACAAACCATCAAATCCACGAATTAACTATACATTTCATGTAACTTATCAAATATCTATATACCGTTCACGGTAGCTCAGTCGGTAGAGCGCTCGCTAAGTGTTCGGGAGGTCGTGAGTTCGAATCTCGGCCGCGATTGACCTAAGTCGATAAAAAAAAATTGGGTAGCAACTGTTCC